GCATATATGCTTCTCGGTCCGCGGTATGCGTGAACGTGCGTCGGAGCTAAAACGCGCGCGCGGATGTGGCACCCAATGAGTTTAAATCATGCCGACTGCCGACGAGACGCGTTACCGGAGCGGAATTCGCTCTACACGACTAAATAGTAGAGAGGAGAAACACGAAGATCGGTTTGGAGGCACAAAGGGGACTTGCGAATTTATTTCATGGCATTTCGAAGAACTAGTGACCGGTCTTTCTAGCGACCTCACGCGTCGCGGAAATTATGACGTAAATTAAAACGGAGGAGGTGATAAGAATTTTACACGGAATTTTACAAGAGTGCAGAACGTTTAAAAACTCAATACTTCCCTGTAAGGGGGAACGCTCTCTTTAATACCGCAGCGAAACTTTCGAGCGCTTTTTCTAATCTTTCGTTCGCTTTCAATAAGTGTTCGCTGAATCGCGCAGGACACTTCCGCCGCGATGTCGTCCTTAATCCTAACAAATCGAATTTAACCGTCGCAACGCCACGTATACGAGAGCCAAGAAAGACCGAGCGCGACGGAAAGACGAAGAGATAGATCGCGCGATCGTTACGGAGATAGAAACAGGAGGAGAGGATGAGCGGGGCGAAAGAGCAGACGAAAGGCGGAGGGGGGAGGGGGAGGGGAGGACAGGGGTCCGAAGTAGGAGAATAATAAAGCGAGTCAGTGCCAGGTGCCCGCCTGGCATAAGAAGAAGGCATCCAAAAGCAGTTCGTGTCATTAGAGACCGTGAAAGACGTGACAAATGACAGTCTGTCCGGTCTTGAATGCGCATTGGCGCCCCCTATCGCTGCCACTCGTTTGTTTGCGGTCACATATTGACATATTGTCGCGCTGCAGAAGAGGGCACGGCGAACTTCTTCACGAACCGTCTTCTTCATTTATATCGTGGAACCTCCGCCGCTGGCCTGCCAGATCAACGCGTCGCGTCGCCCGGCTCTCGTCTACTGTGAGAATTCGATTCGCCATGGATCCTTGGGGATGTTTTGACGGCCGCTTTTGACGAGCGATTGTCCTTTCGACTTTTGCGGCCCTTCGAGTACCTCGCGGTGCCCTTTTTTTTTGCCCCCGTTACTGGCTCGCCTTCCTATACTCTTCCTCCCCGTGCGCGTTTTACTTCCGGACCGCGCCGATGATAATCGCGCGCATTTTCGCCGATTCATCCCGTTGTACTTCCAAGAATGGCTCGCACTTCTATGAGAATACAAATCGCGTTCCGCGTGATCGCAATGACCTACGACCATTTTTTAGACCACTTTGATCATTTTTAGGGAACGATAAAGAAAAAAAAGGAAACAATTTTACACGGTGCTCAAAATTGTCCTGTTAGCACAGTTGTGCCCTTATACCAAAACAGAAATCCTATAATAAAACAAAATGGTCAGGAACGATAATGTGGATCCTCTCCGTCGGAAAGTCCCCTCACATAAATTTCTCTTAAACGATGCTTAAAATGTTAACATCACTTTAGATTCGATTTCATTATCGAGATATCCGTGGATCGTTGTCCACGGACGACCACGAGGTCGTCGGCAAAACGATGTGCCGCACGTCGTTGGTGGCCGGCGATAATCACGGTGGCGTTTACGGGCGTTCGGTGCGGTGCACGTCTATCCACGACCGGTGAAGTAATCGCGACCACCGAGGAGGAAACGCGATTTATTAAAACGCACGATCGATTGCGCAATTACATCGCGCGGACACGCGTCCCTGCTCCACCGGCGCGGCGCCGCGGCGATCCAGCCGAGGCGGAAGCATCCGGCGGGGCAACTCCGAGCCATCGGCGACGTGTCGCGTACGCGGGATCCGTGTGTTAACACAGATCGGCGCTAATCGTTCACGTTTTCGCCTAAGGCTTGATTCACTGCCGGCTGTGCTACTTTACGGCATTGTTCGACGCCGCGCTCGGATCGCTATCTTAACTAGCCGGTAGCCCGACGCGCCCCCGGTATAGACTCCTCTATGCCCACCAAACGTTCGCGATCGTTCTTTTCCGTCCATGTTCCACGTCCGCGCTCGTGGCTTATACGTCACTACGTGACGGTAGTAAAACAAACGGTTTTCAACCGCGGACTTCCACGACCGAACAGGATCGCAGCAACAACGACTCGGAAAACGTTTAAGATCGAGAAGCGATATACCAAGGAGATATACTGCCTCTCATTCTCTCGCGCCTTTCGTCTCTTTCCGCCTTTCTTTGCAATGGACAGAAAATTTTCCGTAGGAAACAAGAGAATCTCTTTAATAATTCTAATTAGTCTCAACATACAATAATTATTTAATTCTAGTTAAAAGCTTGTAAAGTCACATAGCCAGTAATTTAATGCAGTTTAATGCTGATAATTAATACACTACAGATGCGAATATATATATTTTGATAGGAAATAAATAAGATTATAAGATCTTTTCTATCAATGGTGAAAAAAGGAACCATGTGTCTTTCCTCTTTTTCGACGCTACTATTGTCAGCAGGCAATGAAATGAGATTGGCTCTGAGCGAGCGATGTACCAACAGAAGGAAAGGCCCTACTGCAAAGATGGTTCCTAAAAGGTCACGTTACATTAAGCTTCGAGGCCCTTTAACGTGTAGCCCTCGGTCTTTCGCCTCTTTCCTCCTCGGCCACCATATTTTCTCGAGGTCACGTCCTTCCCGCGCGCGACGATTTGCGGTTACACGATTCACGGCGAGATCGTGATGGCCGAATAGATACCGCGTACGAGCGGTTTCGTGTCCGCTATGTCACCAAGCGCTTATCGTTTCGAGCGGCGTTCTTCTTTATAACGACCACGCGTTTAGAAACCTCTCGTCTTTTATAGCAGTTTCAAATCGTAAAAAGCAAGTTTTCGTTAAGTAATTGATTATGTAACCATCAGATCTACCGTTCCATCGTCATCGATAAAATATTTTACGATATTTGTCTAATGCGATAAATGTAAACTTCTCCATATACAACGATCGCAGATTATCGGGTATATTCGCTATAGAGTCGAGACTAGCGTCCACGGTAGCCACGGTAAGCGACTTAAATCAGTCCTTTTAAAGCTCTTATTGTGCTCGATCATTCGACAATCGATCGGCATGATGCATAAGACAAGATCCGCGAGGCAAACACACCGGCGACATGAGCGACGAACGAGAGAAACGGGCGACAGCGTATCGATCTTAATAGATTGTCCATCAACCGTCATCTATCTTCGGGCGCTTTGAATCAACGCGGCGGGAATCGGCGGTTTTGAGTTAAAAGCCCGTCGGAAATCACCGCGAGTGTCACGGGCAGCTAACTGCAACGTATATAAGGTGGAGCCGTATAACGATCCGTGTTGCCGAGCGAGGAGTAACGTACGTGGGCACCGATGGCCATTCGTCTCTTTCAGCGTCGCTGGGAGTGACACGCGAGCGACGTCGTATTAATGGCTACTTAGCGCCGAGATGTACGGTACTACTCGACGAAGTTGAGGATCAAGGTCGGTCATTACCATCGAAGTGTGTGTCGCGAGAGCCGCCGACCAGATCGACGCGCCTGATCGACGTGATTTCGCTCGCGCGCCAGATCTCCCAGCACCTCCAGGAGATTTTATCTCACGCACCTGTCCGCGCGATTATTGTCATATAAATATCGAGGCAATTTCCCATCGGTCAGGATGCGTTTCGCTTCGCCGGCCGGTTTTTCCGCTAGGTAAAATTACGAACGAACGTACGTGCGTGCCATTAATAATGAATGACGGTATCTAACTAACACCGCGCGCGAATGAAGACTCGCGCGCGGTGTTAGTTAGATATCTATCCAAACCTACTTTGTCCTTATATCATTCGCAAACGAAAAAGCAGCCGCACCAAATACGGAGCGCGCGGAACGAACGCGCCATGTATCTACCACCATATGGCGTCGCAAACAACGTGTATCTGTCATCGTCATCAATCTCCGGCAGAAGTCTCACAAAACTTTAAATTCGTGCGTGAGGTGTAATGCGACGATTATACATAAAAGTCAATTTGAATTAAACTACAAGATCGAATCTTCTCTTATTATATTACATTCATGTACTATAAGAGCACAATCGCTTTTGCTTATCGGTACTTATAATTTTTGCCTGTCTTTTTTTTAACTTTGTTTTAAAACAAATATATAATGTCATGAAAAAAAAACGAATTTAATTTAATTAGACGAGACGAGATCAAAAGATGTGTCTGAGCTCGAGAGTAGGATTTTACTCCAGAAACAACATGGTTCTCATCATTAACACAGCGATTTGTTTAAGGAAAGCGAAATCAATTTAAGAGCACGATAGCATACTTGAAAGATGGTGCGCCTAATGAAACACGCGCCGGTCACGCGTCTCTCCCCTCGATCAATTATTATTCATTAGAGTGAAATTCTGAAACGGTCGTCTAATTGTTGTAGACGCGGAACTTTGCGCGCCGGGGAAAGTCGCACCGCGCGGAGAACCGCGCCACAAAAACGTTAATGTTAGGAACGTGACGTCGAGCATGCGACACGACTAGCAAGCAGAGTTAATCACCGTTCTTGAAATCGAGCGTACTTGGCGAGCCAAAGTTGGCATGAAACTAAGTCGTATCCGCCATAAAAAAGATAAATACTACATCAAGTCGAAACTAACACGCTCGTTTACCAATAGTCATCTTTTCTAAGATTAAGAATGACACATCACAAATCTTAAATATAATCATATTATAATTATTTATTTATTGAATTATATTAAATATCATAAATAAAGATAAAAAAACAAGGAAAAATTTTTGCTAAAAATTCAAACATTTAATTCTGCAGCTTTTGTATATGTTTAAATTCAAATAGTCGTTTAACAATGCGTTTATCAATTCTTTAAATACTTATTTAAAGTTGGCAGATTAATAAAGATAAATATGAAAATTTCAAGAGAAATATTTAAAATTTGAATGATGTGTCAATCAAATTAAACCAAACAGTATAGCAAATTAAAATAATACATACATACATACAGGTGAGCAGGACAAGCAAACTATCTTCAGAAACTGACCTGAAACAAAACAAAATACATATGTAAGCTGAAATTCAACTTGTCAAAAAGATCAAAATGGGATGTCCCAAAAGATCAAAAGATGTCCTATTTTAGGACATCTGATTGAAACGTACTGTTTTACCCTATGTCTAAAAATTATTTATGCCTGTTATATATATATATATATATATATATATATATATATATATACACACACATATATACAGGGTGTCCCAAAACCCGCGGATTTTCTTTTAAATTTTTTAGAATATTCTAATACGAAAATGTTGAGACTATATAATAGTTTTTAAATAGTTTTTAATAGCAATTAAAGTTGGCTAATCACAGAGCTGACATTTCGCGCGCTCAGGCACGATGATATGACAAGTGATAGAGGTGCTACGAAGACCTTCTTAATAACGCCGAGATTATCATATACAAATTTGCAATAATATTTTTGCTAAGAAATTATTTTTTCTTTTACACGAAACCTATTTGTACATTAAATAATTAATTAATATCACAACATATAAAAAAATATTAATACAATTACGAGATATTACGATATGTGTCAAAATTCATTCATAACTATATTTTCATTTATTTATTTACCTCGTATCGTGAATATTTTTGTAACAGAAATGTAATGTTCCAGTCTTAACTGTATTAATATGTTTAATTTTTTTCATGTTAAAAATGGTTTATCTATTACAAAAATATTCACCATACGAGGTAAATGAATATAGTTATAAATTCATTTTGACAGTTGACACATATCGTAATATCTCGTAATTGTATTAATATTTTTACATATGTTGCAATATTAATTGATTATATAATGTACAAATAGGTTTCGTGTAAAAGAAAAAATAATTTCTTAGCAAAAATATTATCGCATATTTGTATGATAATCTCAGCGTTATTAAGAAGATCCTCGTAGCACTTGTCTATCACTTGTCATATCATCGTGCCTGAGCGCGCGAAATGTCAGCTCTATGATTAGCCAACTTTAATTGCTATTAATTTAAAAACTATTATAGTCTCGACATTTTCGTATTAAAATTTTCGTCTTAGAATATTCTAAAGAATCCGCACTTAAAAGAAAATCTGAGGGTTTTGGGACACCCTGTATATATAAACCGACCTCTTCTTCTTTCTGTCTATTATTATGTTAATATTCTTTCTCTCCATTTTAAGAAAAATATTGATGAAAAATGATCTTGTATCGCTTCTCGCGACCAACCGGACCAATGTCAGCGGTCGACGGTTAAGTCCCGCCGACACTTAGAGTACTAGCGCAACAATACACTGAAACAATATTACTCCTTTATAAAGATTTAATATTCTAAGCAGAATTTTTCTTAGTTTCCAAGTAGTTTGATATTTTAGCCGTTTGGCACAAACACCAAAAATTTTCAATATTATAATTCCATTTTTTTATATGTATAAATACCGAATCAGATTTTTCTTTTGTAGCCAGCAAAAGAATAATATTTCAAATGTTGCAGTGTATTGGTATACAAAAGCTTAATTGAGAACAACTCTACTGAACCATAAACCTATAGATAGACTTTGAAAAAGCCTGAAATAAATGTGAAAAATGAAAGGGAGAAAAGGAGAAATGTTCTTTTTTTTTTTTTTTTAAGATGAAAGATGCCGATTTCTTTGCTTTCTTTCCATCATTTGTACTTACAAAGAAACAACTGAAAACAATTTATCTATGTATAAGCCAACAATTAGAAAATAGATCTGCAAAAATTTCGCAGTGATCATATGATATCGGTGACATCAAACACAATAATACAAAGCAAAATCATTAGTGTTGGTACCACACTATTATATTTTTTTTTGTTTGCAAATGAACTTTAAGTCAAATAGATGTATTACTTTTCGACAAGCAAATAATGATGTGTGTTCCACAATAAAAGTTAGAAATTCAAATGTTATACTACTAGAAGGAAAATAAATGGGAATACGCATTAATTCTTATGAATATAAATTTACACAAACTGCAAGTTTTTTTTTAGTTTGTTAAATTATTTTTAACTAATTAAATTTTTTCTTAGTTAATTTAATTTGTTAAGAACTCATTAATGTGTCAATATCAATTTATAAAACGGCACGAGTTTAAAGTTTATCTTATAAAATCGATGTGACTATGGAATGACAAAATTCTCCATGAATCGATTTATTTTTTACATTCTCTACCTATTCTTTATTCAGACATCATAATACAAGATCCGAAAATATTAATGGCATTCGTTGCATACTGTAAAAAAGAGCAGCAATTTTTACTTTAGTATCTGACGTGAGTTACGTAAGTACATTAGAATTCGTCGTGCTCATCAAGAATTACATTGGCACAGATCAGTGACACTCGCCACGTGTTCGTGCATCGTCACGATCCAAAACGGAAGTGTTTTAACGGTAGCGATAGAAGAGATAGCGGAAAGCTTTAATTGCGACACAGTCGGGGATAGTTGGACAGAAGGGCCGAGTAAAGAATCGTGTAGGAGTCGCGATATCGTATCGCGGGAAATTAGCCCGATACACGCAAGTATACTGATTAGTTGGTTCTCGATTTCTAGATTCTTTTCCGAGAAATTCACAATTTCACGCATCGCGACATAAATTGTTCTCTCCAAGAATTCCAACAAATATGTCACGCGTGATCTTAAATATTAATTCTACTTAATTCTATACCCTTTCGTCGATTCTTAAGATTCTTCCGTATACCCGTGAATTCTGACCTCTCTCTTTCGGAGAAAATATTCCGATCTCTTACCTAGATAAAACCTCAACGCGTCTATTCTCTGAACCGATAAATGTGTACGAATCGTGCATAGCACTTTTACGAGCGGCTGCGGTCGCGTTATGCGGTGGCGATGTATCTACGAACGCGATAAAAGTTCCTTAATTTCTGAAGCGAAACGGGTTGATGCTGTGCCATTGTCCGATCGTCGTGTTCAACGATGGCTGAAGATCTTTGGGTGAAAATTAGAAAAAAACCGCATGGAACCTACAGCTGACATCTGCTCGTCGGTATTTCAATAAAAGGGTATTTAAAATTTAATTTCTAGACCTATTTTCTGAAGTCGTTTCTTTAGTTTAACTCTTTACCTGAGGAAAAAAACTATAGTTCTCTTTTCCAGCAGAGAAAATGAATAATCGTCTTTTACCGATCTGTAAATCATCTTCTGACAGTTTCCTATGGCGGCACGCTATGGCTAACTATGGCAATTGTTAATATCAGCATTACTATAGGACCGTCTTGGTTTCTTTAATTTAACCAGATCATTTTTGCAAACTGCTCAAATAAATTCTTTGTTTAAATATTTTGAAAATACCAAATACTGTATTCAAAAAAAGTTGAAAGAGTTAAATATGCTGAGAAAAAGCGTTTTCTTGATAAATATGCAGATGTTTTAAAATAAACTATTACGTTTATTAATTAATTTATACCGTTCATTAATTAATAAACGGTTTAATTTTGTTCTTTACAAACATGATGTGTCGACTTGATTTACGAATTTCGTTATAATGGCTTCGGCTCGTCAAACGTGTTACCGGAAATTATTCGTGACAGTTTACCAAAATAGGTTTCTACTGGCATATTGCCATCTTTGGTATGGAATCCACTGCGTCAAAAACATCAGATACGTAAGAAGTTACAATTGCGACATCCGTTTTAATTGCGAATCTACTCTTTAGGCAACGTCGATATGATCTCGAGTTTAATACTAGAATTTTACGTCCTGTGCCCAAAACTACGGTAACGATTGAGAGTGAGATTGTCACGGTGATTCGCTCACATGCAAACGCAATCGTTAAAAAATCGTTCTTCCCTACTGAATCCGTTTTGTAAATCGTGTCTACCTCCCACGTGTCGTGCTCTTCTTCGGTCTGTCGTAAGCTGGCCCAATTTCTATGGTAGCGCGCCTTATAAATCGCCGCACCTTTTTACGACCTTCGTGTAAAGCGCCAAGACGAGTCATCCTCTTACGAAAGATAACGAGCATATTTTTTTTCTTTTTCTCTTTTCTCGCCTTCTTTTTGTGTCCGCTAAGCCCTTCTTCCTGCGCAAACTCGTCGGACTTCACTTGCTCCTCGTTTGAGAATTGCAGCGGGTGCATCTATGAATTTGCAGTGCAAGATTGTGAGATTATGCGTTAAAAATGGTTCTTTATCGATTGAAGATCACCAATTGAAGATATTTTCGTATATATTTTTTATTATTTTTTACGCATCGCCAGACATTATGACTCGTTCAACCGGAAACGGCTCCCATCACTCTCGCACACTGCACAGTGTCAAGGAACTGTTTCAGATCGTAAAAGGACAAACAGCTTTAGCGAATTATGCTCATTGTCAGTTAATCAATGCAACATGACATTTTTGAAGCACGATACGAAGAACATGATTCGATATTGCGGAATGCGAAGGATGAGGATCAACCGCAATTATTTTGCCGCACGGAATTCTTAAGTCGGCCGGCGCGCATTGCAAAGGCGGAAAGTTAATTCGCCGGTAAAAAGTCCTATCTAAAGTTTGTCGGGTCGACGATAGCACGGGCAATTTAAATGCTAATCTACGCATCACGGAACAAAGCAGCATCGAGAAAGTTTCACCTCTCTCTCTCGTTACATTGTCTCACGTATACGCGGTGCGTCATACCGCCGACCATTAGCCAACCACGACACGACTTTCCGCCAGATTTGAATCAGATTTGCATCAGGGCCGACACACGGTTCGTTAACACATTATATGATAATTCTCTGTGTTCAAAACAATCAATGTAATATTAAATGTATCTAGTTTTTTTTTTTTCAGAAAAAAATTAAGATAAAATGTATTTAATTTTTTTTTAAGAAAAGGTCAAATTAAAATATCAAAAACATATATCTTTTCCTTCTAGAAAAGATCAAATTAAAATCGCGTTAAGGTATTCAATATTGCAAGTAAAACACATTTTTGTTGTACATAAAATCGTTTTTTATCCAGAGCTATTGACTAATACC